CACACAATCACACACGCACACACACACACACGTGCTAACTCTAACGGCCGCTTCTTGTGATTTCCCGATCTGAGGTTAAAAAAGGTTAAAAAACAGTTCCCGCTTTGATTGTCCCGCTGTGTAGCTTCCGTTAGCGTTTAGCACCAAAACTTAGCACCGAACCCTATTTTCATACAGGACCCACAGGTTGAGAAACTGCACGTCAGTTTCGGAAAAATAAAATACCAGATCAGAGGTCAACACACTGCTGCTTACTCTATCACTGGGCCAATGTTTTTTACACTGCACCACCGCCCGGTGGATCGACAGCAAAATCGAAGGTCGCGTGCGGTCGCCGCAGTCTTTGAGGTCATCGTTAAAATAACGGTTCAATTATATGCAGTAGTATATTTAGCTTTTTGCCGATATCCGATATGTCGATATTGTCTGAACGCTAAAATTCCGATATATACCATTACCGATATATGCAGAGGTGTGCTGTGTCACAATGACAACAATTTACTTTCACTTTCACTTCTGAACTATTTCTAGGGCGAAACGCAGGCATTACGTTATCGGGTTTTCGGGTAAAAAAAACGATCACCATTTTTACCGATGTTGCATATGCTAATATCGAATGACAATATTGGTTCGGTGGTACTATCGGACATCCACGATAATATCATATGCTATATACTGTATATGATATTAAACAGTTAGCTGTTAGCTGTCAGTCATGCACATGGTCCAATCAGATGCCCTCTCTTCCAGCGTGTTTTTTTTTTTTTTTTAAATTCAGGTTCTAGAAAAGGCAGTTCTGCAACCAGCATTTAAGACTTCAGGGAAAAGAGCCCTGAAGTTTGTAATCAGAGAAGAAATAGTGTTTTACCGCTGTCTCTGTCTGACGCGTATATGCCGACGATGGTTGCAACGTGGAATTTACAGGAAGTGTAACCGCGTGTGTGGTTGGTTATAAATCTGAGGCTAAGGTCTGTGTGTTCTCAGGACCCGCTCTTTGTGTTTCTTCACTGTGTTCCGAATCAGTGACCTGCACTAACGACCTCCATTGCGATGCTAACGACATCGTTTCCTTGTCCTCGTCTGGACAAACACTCACAAAGACAAACGCTCTCTGTCAAAGTCAACCGGACTCTGGTCCGCCCCTGGACCTGGACCAGTTAGATCGGGCATAAACATAAACAACCCCTACTACTGGGGGTGTGGTCACCTAGCAACCCCCAGATATCTCCCATCATGCCCTTGACTTATCGTCCGCGCCAGTCACATGGAGTGTTTTAAAAAGTTAAAAAAGGTTTCACGTCGTAGAGTTGTCGCTGACCTCAGACCAGCAGCGACACCTAGCTGTGACTGTGAGTCCAGTTATTTTAGTTTTAGGACTTAGGTTTGTTGAGCGACTGAAACTGGACTCCCTTCACGTCATCGATCAGACCATTGATCGCAGGGTCTACGCTAACGTCCCTCCAGAGACAAACGGGGCTTTTAGTGGGAGGGCAAACCACAGCAGCAGGATGTATGTGGTGGTCTGGATGTTGTCGGAAAATTCCATCGTTTCAAATATATGTGTATGTATATATATATATGTATATATATATTTACATACACATTGCTGACCCATACCCATGCATATAAATGTGTGTGCATATATACACATATATAGATATATTCATATATACATATATTCACATATATAGATACTGTATATTCATATATACATATGTTCACATATATAGATATATTCATATACACATATAGATATATTCACATATACATATACACACATATGTGTATATATTCATATACACATATATACAATTCATATATACATATACATATATACATATATTCATATACACATATATACAAATATATAGATATATTCATATACACATATATTCACATAAATAGATATATTCATATACACATATTTTGTAGTAGACAGAGTTTTCCATGGATAGATTTATATATACATATAAACACATATATAGATATAGTCATATATACATGTATACACATATATATATCCATATACACATATAGATATATACATATATATTTTTTCCAATATATTTATATATTTCAGTATATATTTTTCAGTATATTTTGCAGGTTGAAAATACAATCCTGAATATGTGATTCTGGCCATTGTTTCAAAAGCCTAGTATTGAATACAAAATAAATGAAGTATGTTTACCTATGGCACTTGGTCCAGTGTATTTTAAAACATACTACCACGTACATGTACTGCAGGAGGAGTTCCTGTTTCAAATTGTTAACAAACCTCGGTCTGAAGTGGACCAGAAACACACTGGTACCAGTGGCACACAGTACGCTGTATACCATCACATTAATTTTTCAACATCAGTGAGACCAGGGGGCAGCAGAGATCAGTCGGCAGACTGTAGAACATTAACGACGGTCACCGCAAAGCAGGAAAGATGACACTCCACAAATGTATTTTGAAATATTTATGAGGAGCTGCGTACCAGCCATTATCCTGAATATGAAAGACAAGTAGATGATAAAAATGAATAAAAATATAAGATGTGAAACAAACAAGTAGATGAATGCATAAAAATATATAAAATATATATTAAAATATATATATATATTCATATACAGTATATCATATATATACTATATACATATATACTATACAGGGAGAGTTATTAAATAAATGGTATTCCATTTATTTAAACACCCCCCGTATTTCTTTTCTATTTTACATATATATTCATATATATTTGAATATATATTTCATATATTTTTATGCACTCATCTACTTGTTTTTTTCATTCAGGAGAATGGCTTCTACGCAGCTCCTATATAATATATATACTATATATATTATATAGGAGTATATATATATTAATATATATGTATATATCCCAATAGTCATCACACAGGTGTGTGTTTTCAGCTGGTATTATTACATAGGAGTATACATATATATATTATATACTGTATATAGTATAATATATACTATATATAATATATCCTATATAACATATATATATATACATATATACATATATATATGTATATATATATATATGTATATATCCCAATAGTCATCACACAGGTGTAATGTTTCCAGCTGGTATTTTTAGTGAAACTCTGGTGCGTCATGACCTTTGACCTCTTAATGTTTTAGATGCTGATCCGGACAAGAGGACGTTGAAAAAAACGCTTTCAGAAATGATCCCTGATTCTTTTTGAGAGGTAAACACACAAACACACACACACACATTTGGTCGTTGTTTTTGACAGAAGCCTGTGTGATGTGTGGCTCCCCACTCACCCCCCCTTTCCCTCCCCCACCTCTCTCACCCCTGACCTGCTGTCACTGCCTCTGTCTCTCTCTCTTTGTTACATAAACCTCTGGAATAATCCCTCTGTTGCTATTTGTCCACAACACACACACACACACAAACAGGTCCGACAAACTTGTGTTTGTTCTCCTTCCAGGTACGGACCAATCAGAAGTCAGGATGATGCCCAAGGTAAATGAAATGAAGTGAGACTACTTTAAACGATACAAATGACCTCCGTAATTAGGGATGTCCGACGATTGACCGACCGCTATTATCGGCCAGTGTTAGCTTAATTACGTAATAGCAGTAAGAACACAGATTTTTCTTCCGATAACACAACGCAAATAAGTTATGAAGTGAAAGTGAAAGTAAAAAGTGAAAGTGAAAGTGAATTGCAAACGGCTGCATACATCGGTATTGGTTGACATCAGAATTGGAACAATATCGGCATATCGGAAAAAGTTAATATCGGACATCCCTATACTTAATTATTTTGTGATACAGGAAATCGTTAGTTCAAGGTTGAACTCAGTGTATGTGTGTGTGTGTGTGTGTGTCAGCAGCAGCCGGCCCAGACGTCTCCAGGGAGTGTGTTGTCACTGAAAGGGTCAAATGTCCCAGGTCACCCTGCGGCCATCGTGGTGAGACGCTCACTCTTTGTATCATTACTCTCGATTAATCTGGAAGAAATTAAATAATCTGACTCCGACGCCTCCCTTGCTCCCCCTTCAGGCCAGAGTGGAGAATGAGGTTATCGGATACAAAGACTTGGCAGCCCTGCCCAAAGACAAAGCCATCCTGGACATAGAGAGACCGGACCTGATGATCTACCAGCCGCACTACTGCTACAGTCCACTAGAGGTGATGTCTGCGTCTCTGAGAAATTAGTTTGTTTAAAAATATACTGTATGTTTGTTAAAATATTAGATAGTATATATTGCACGCATATTGTACATATATTGAGCATATATTGTACACATATTGTACATATATTGCGCACATATTGTAATGTTGTACAATATATGTAAAATATATATATTTGTTACAATATTATACAATGCAACAGATAGACTTATAGACAGAAATAGTATATATTGCACATATATTGTACATATATTGCACATATATTGTACATATTTTGTACAATATATGTAAAATATATATATTTGTTAAAATATGATACCATACAACAGATAGACTTATAGACAGAGATAGTATATATTGCACATATTTTGAACATATTCCATGTGTTTTATGTTTCCTTTCTCTCAGAGGTCCTTGTCTCCTCGTTCCATCTCCCCTCCTGCCTCCCCAGAGGTAAGAATTAAGCTTTCTTTTGTCACTGTTCTATACCGTACAACAGGGGTCTTCAACCCCCGGTGTGGGGACCTGCGCCGGCCCGTAGGTCATTTAGTACCGGTCCCTCATAATGGCTGATACCGGTTGACCGGTCTGTGACCCTTTGACCTCTGACCTCCCCTACCCTGTGCAGAACATGTCCAAGGAGTGGCTGGAAGCCCATTCCCCTGGTTGTTCCTCACCTGGTTCCTCCGCCCAGACCAGCAGAACACACAGTGCGCACACGCCGTCGACGCCGCAAACTCCGACCACGACCATCCCGTTGATCACGCACTCCACCAGTACCAAGAGCGCCATGCAGCACTTCCACAGACCAGGTGAACACAGTAAGACCAGTTTCTGAGACAATGGTACGAAGCAGCAGCAGCTCGAACCAGTGTTTTTAAAATCTTTTTTTTTTTCTCAGAAAATGGATCCAACATTTATAAGAAGCCTCCGATTTACAGAAAAGGTAAAGTTTGACAACGTGAACGTGAATGGCTGTGATGGTTGTCATGGTTACGCCAGCTTTAAATAGGTTTGTCCACGCACTGTTTAGTTGAAGACGACGCTAATATACTGGCAGGAATTGAAGAAAGACACAAAGATCTTCTTCAACAGCTCTGATAATATTTTCTTAGCTTTAACAACCATCTGCTGCCACCTAGTGGAAGAGGAGTTCATTGCTCTTTGACAAAATTATTTGCAATAAATACTAGTTTTGACATTGGATAATTTTCCAAGGCCGACTGAATCATATTTGTTCACCAGTGAGGCCACCCGGTGGCGAACGTTGGTAGTGCGCTTGCCTGGTTTCCATTCCCGGTTGTTGTTCTCATGTTTTCATGTTCTCCCCGTGTGTGTCCACAGGTGTCTCGCCCTCTGCTGTCCCTCAGGGGAAACACATCGAGGACTTGATCATAGAATCCTCAAAATTCCCAGCCGCCCAGCCCCCCGACCCAAACCTGCCCTCCAAGATAGAGACGGAGTACTGGCCGTGCCCCCCCTCTCTGGCTGTGATGGGTATGACGCACACACACACACACATACACACACACACAAATACATGTGTCTAATTGTCTTCTTATTCCCACTCCCGCAGAGAAGGAGTGGAAGAAGAAAGAGCAGAGGAATGAAGACGAGGGGGAGGACGGGGAGATGGGGGACGAGCTGTGGGCTCTCAGAACTCTCCAGAAACAGGAACTCAACAAGGTCGGAACTACGTCGGAAGATGGAATTATTTTTTAATTACACCAACACTACCCAGAAATATTAAATGTACAAGCTAACGTTAGCCTGATGCATCAGTTTAACGTCATTTCAGGGGATAAAAAAACGCCCCCTAGTGGTAGCTTTCCTGCTCTGTGTCTCTTATCCTTACACATTGTCACATCATCACAGTCAGGTGACCATGAGTCACGTGACCATGAGTCACGTGACCATGAGTCAGGTGACCATCAGTCAGGTGACCCTGAGTCATGTGACCATGAGTCAGGTGACCACCAGTCACGTGACCACGAGTCACGTGTCCGTCTGTCACGTGTCCATCTGTCAGGTGACCATCAGTCATGTGACCATCAGTCGGGTGACCAGCAGTCAGGTGACCATGAAATTGTGGGTCCACAATGTAGCGGTTAGCACAACCTGCATTACAGGCAAACAGCACAGGGTCCTGGGTTTAATTCCAAGAGCGCCTCCTAGGGGTAGCCTGTTGCAGCACATCTACTGCAACAGGAATTTTTAAATTTATTTTTTCTCGTATCTCTCTCCGTTTCACAGATTCAGTCCAATCTGGGGAAAATCATCCTGAAGGAGGAGTTGGACAAATCCGCGGCTCCTCTGAGGAGGAAAACGCGCTCGCTGCCCGACCGCAGTCAGAACACCGGTGACCAACCATGTTTGAAGAGCTTTTATAACTCAGGAATTTTCTTGTTTTCCTTTGTTTTAAACAGTTCTGTGAACTTTCTTTTCTCAGGGTCCCGGGCCTCCAGGTCTGTGTGTTTCCCCGTCTCCCTCAGGGTGAGAACTGCGTGTCCACGTCAGTACAGTCGGAGCAGAGTCATGTGATCAGACTGATGACCGTGTGTGTGTGTGTGTGTGTGTGTGTTTTCAGCCGTCAGACTTCAGCTCCAATAACAGAATCTCCACAGGTAAAAAAATAAACAATAAACAAACAAATAATTCATGGTTCAATTTTAAAGGTTTAGTCAAATTAATCAATTATGATTTTTTATGAAAAACATTATATTAGTTTGGTATTAATTATATTATATTAATTATAATTGTAAATGAATATTTTAATAATATTCATATTACAACAACAACAATAATAACAATTATTATTATTATTATGAATAATAATTATTATTATTCATAATAATATAATAAATATTATTATAACCATTCTATTATTATTATTATTAATATTATATTATTATGTCTATTATTATCATTATTATTAATGTTATTATTATTATTATTATTATTATTATTATTATTATTATTATTATTATTATTATTATTATTATTATTATTATTATTATTATTATTATTATTATTATTATTATTATTATTATTATTATTATTATTATTATTATTATTATTATTATTATTATTATTATTATTATTATTATTATTATTATTATTATTATTATTATTATTATTATTATNNNNCTTTCCCTGCAGGTCTCCAGGTACAGTCTTTTAACAGTTTCCTGTGGAACCGTTTCACCTTGTAGTTCTGGTACTGACAGTCACTTCCTGTCACTGTCGTTGACCTGTTGTTGTCGTTGTTGTCGTTGTTGTCGTTATTGTCGTTGTTGTCGTTGTTGTCATTGTTGTTGTCGTCGTCGTCGTTGAAGAACGGCGCCTCCAGGATCGACAGAGGAAACTCTCTGCCCAGTATGTTGGACCACAAGGTAACGAGGTTCCAAAGTTTATGTTTGTTTTATATTTGTTTATATTTGCTGTACTCTGTGCTTGTGTGTTCGCAGATTTATCCCTACGAGACGCTTGTGGTGACCCACAGAGGGCGCAGTCATCTGCCCCCTGGTGTTGACAGAACCCAGCTGGAGGTAGGTAGTCATTCGAACATTTTTTTTTTTTCATTTGTTCCGGTGACCTTCAGGTCACAGCAGCAGGGTCATGTGACATCAGTCGGACGGAAAGTACCGGGAACTTTTTATTCTTCTCAGTTCACATCCTGGAGAAAAACTGTTTTCATTTTTATATAAAATATCTTTAATCGTAAAAAAGTGACAGCAACAAGATTTCAACATAATCATTGGACACATTTAAACAAAGGTCAATGACTCGGTCAAAGGTCAAAGACTAGACTAGATTAGTTTGGATTAGATTAGATTGGACTAGACTAGATATAATTAGACTGAAATAGACCAGACTGGATTAGATTAGATTAGATTAGATTAGATTAGATTAGATTAGATTAGATTAGATTAGATTAGATTAGACCAGATTAGATTACATTACATTGCATTAAACTAGATTAGATTAGATTAGATTAGATTAGACCAGATTAGATTACATTACATTGCATTAAACTAGATTAGATTAGATTAGATTAGATTAGATTAGTGTAGATTAGATTATTTTAGATTAGATTAAACTAGATTAGATTAGATTAGATTAGATTAGACCAGATTAGATTACATTACATTGCATTAAACTAGATTAGATTAGATTAGATGAGACTAGATTGTTGGTGTGACCAGTCTGACTCGTCCCTCCCGTCTGTCTGTCTCTGTGGACGGCCCTGCAGAGATACCTGTCTCAGGAGGAGTTCTTCAGCCTTTTCGGGATGTCCATGGAGGAGTTCGACGGCCTCTCCCTCTGGAAGAGGAATGACCTGAAGAGGAAGGTCTGTCTCTTCTGAATCCACGGACTCCCCCGCCACGCCCCCCAATGGTCCCTGACAGAAAGTTGAAACCACAGACTCTGAACAGTATTACGAAAATCACAGACATCACCTTCATCCTCATCGTCAGTGCGTGCAGCAGGCCGCGGCAAATACGACGGTTTTGCCGACATCCGTTCTCCGGGGGTTTGAGCTTCACTTTCTGACATCGGAGGTTTTTTATTCAGGGAAAATCAGGAACCAGTTCGGAACCCTCCGAAGTCACCGACGATGAACCGCAAAAATATCATTTTCTACAGACGTCGCTCTGCCACAGACAGCGTTCGGACTGTTCCGACAACAGCTGTCAATCGCAAACGGATCACGTGATGTTCAGGCGTCAGTTATCGTAACGTCACGCGACGTGAGTTAAAGCTGCTGTCAGTCACAGATGGTCTGCAGTGATTGATTTCTCTCCCGCTAGAAGCTAGCTAAGGCCTAGCCGCTCAGGATTAGCCGCACTGCCAGAATTCTAGTTTTTGTTTCTTTTTTGTTTGTTTCCTGACAGCAGCTTTAACGAGTGGTTCTCAAAATATTTACATTTCCGATCATCTCGGGAAGTACATGTATACATGTACATATATATGTATATACGTGTATACATATATGTATACATATATACATATATAACAGCCCTATTTTAAAACTAAGTGAATCACCTAATCTTAATTGGAATCAAATGTCCTTAAGTTACCACTAGTGGGAGCCCACGTACCACCAGTGTTACATGTACCATAGATTGAGAACCGCTGAAAAAAAATTCAAACAAACTTGACAGAAAGACATCACATGACATCATAAATGGAGCATGAGGTCACGTGATTGTGCTCGGTCCAATCAGTAGTCTGGAAACATTTAGCATCCATTAGCGGTTTATTAGCGACCAAATAATAATAGCTATTTTTTACACGCAGTTGTCGCTAAACCTCCGACAACAACCAAAACACGACACGAAGAATGATAGGAAATCAGCGATTTAAAAAACGAACGGGATGAATGTCTTTGTCGTTACCCCACGTGCACACACTCAGGTGCACTCTTTTATCTGTCATCGCTGTTGTGTTTGTTTTCCGTTGGTAAACGATTGTTCACCAACATCGAGCTAGCGGCGGGGAACGGCGTGAAGGCGTGAGCTCATGTGACGGAGAACCTGTACCAGTGGAACGCCTCACACCTGGTACCACAGACCAGCTGGGTTAACACCTCGTCTCATTGGCCAATGGGAGGACGGGGACACTGAAAGGTCCATTCGTGCCTAATATGGTGTTTTTCATCAGTCAAAAAGTTCTCAGACGGATGTCAAGTTTTCTGACGTTTATCACTGAAAGTGGTTTCGATTTGCGACCATGTGTCGAGAATTCCAAAAAGTAGGAATTGTCCGACGTAAGCACGGCTGGAGAAGGGTTTGGATTTAAATTGAGGATATGTTAAAAAAAAAAAAAAAAAATTATTTTCGTGACTAAAGATTTGAACTTTTTCACTTTCCATCGTAATCGGTGCATGTGCTGTGGTGCAGTGGAGGCCGACAGTGACGGACAGTGTCGGTGAACACAGTCGAAGGATTCAGAGTGATGTGAGACGACGTGCGTGATGCAAAGTTGCAAAGATTTTTTTCTTTTTTTGTCATTCTGGTGATGGGTGTTGGATGAATGTGTGTCAGCAGAGGGCAGCACAGGAAGTGAAACGGGAGAAGAAGAAGAAAGTTACTTCTGAACATTGAATACTGAATACAAAATATATATCGAAGTAGCGACGCAGTTTTAAACACATCGTGATAATGTTTATATCAATCGTAACCATCGTTATGGTTCTTTCGTTAAGTCCGCGGAAAGCTAGTGGTCGGGTTGCGAAGTGTGAAAAAGACTAAAAATTGAGCGATGATCTAAAAGAGAGGCGAATATGTGCGAAAAACCATGTAGAGCAGCATAGGTAACATGGGGATTTTCCAAGGGCGCCATCTGCTGGAGGGGGCAATACTGTAACCCTTCTAAACCAAAAAAAAAAAGTGTGGTGGTGCAAAGCCAAGGGCCAACCCATAATCTCATCTACATATGGTCACCAAATGGCCATATAGCATGTGTTGCGGAGGATGTTAAAGCTGAGGGTCGAGACCCTCGCTGGTACGTACAGATCTGAATTGAAGGATCAGTACCGACATTGATGAGTACTCATATCGACTGATATTCTAATGCCACATGAGCTCACGCTCAATGCCACGTCTGCCCCTCGCTTCCCCCGCCCTTCCCCCGTCTGCCCCCCCGTGCTTCCTGTCTTTCTAACCAGCGATTTTCCTTTTGAAGTGAATGCACATCGGCCACTTTACGTTGAGACAATTTTTTTTTAATTATTATTACGTCTGACACTGTTTAAGAGGGAAACACCCTGCTCAATTCTGATTGGTCATTGATTTGATTAGAGTCAGGAAGTGGCTTTGCTGTGACTTACACCATGATGACGCCAAGATTGTCCCTTTTGTTGTTGTTGTTGATTTTTTTTTCTTTTTTAAATTGTATTTATTGAATTATATCTTTATTATTATTATGATTATTATGATTATTATTATTATTATTATTATTATGACTATTATAGTTGTCAGATGAGAGGCAGGTGATGTAACAAATGACTGCTGATGTGAATGATTAACCATGACTACAATAAAGACCATTTGTCTTTGGCTTTGAGAACAGACTGTTTCACCTTATATTGAACCACAGTGTCAGTGATGAGCCACGAAGAAGAGGATGAAGAGGAAGAAGAAGTAGAAGAAGAGGAAGAAGAAGAAGAAGAAGAGGAAGAAGAAGTAGAAGAAGAGGAAGAAGAAGAAGAAGAAGAGGAAGAAGAAGTAGAAGAAGAGGAAGAAGAAGAAGAAGAAGAGGAAGAAGAAGTAGAAGAAGAGGAAGAAGAAGAAGAAGAAAAAGAAGAAGAAGAGGAAGAAGAAGAGGAAGCGGAAGTGGAAGAGGAAGAGGAAGAGAAAGAAGAAGAAGAAGAAGAAGCAGAAGAGGTAGAGGAAGAAGAAGAGGAAGAGGAAAAAGAAGAGGAAGAGGAAGAGGAAGAGGAAGAGGAAGAATAGAAAGAAGAAGAAGAACGAGAGGAAGAAGAAGAGGAAAAAGAGGAAGAAGAGGAAGCGGAAGAGGAAGAGAAGGGGAAGAAGAAGAAGAGGAAGAAGGAGAAAAAGAAGAGGAAGAAGTAGAAGAAGAGGAAGAAGAAGAAGAAGAAGAAGTAGAAGAAGAGGAAGAAGAAGAGGAAGAAGAAGAGGAAGAAAAAGAGGAAGAAGAAGAAGAGGAAGAAGAAGAGGAAGAAGAGGAAGCAGAAGAAGAAGAAGAAAATGTAGAAGAGGAAGACGAAATTGTAGAAGAAGAGGAAGAAGAGGAAGTAGAAGAATCAGAAGAAGACGAAGAAGAGGAAGAAGAAGAAGAAGAAGAAAAAGAGGAAGAAGAAGAAGAGGAAGAAGTAGAAGAAGAGGAAGAAGAAGAAGAAGAAGAAAAAGAGGAAGAAGAAGAAGAGGAAGAAGTAGAAGAAGAGGAAGAAGAAGAGGAAGAAAAAGAGGAAGAAGAAGAGGAAGAAGAAGACGAAGAAGAAGAAGAAGAAGAGGAAGCGGCAGCGGAAGAGGAAGAGGAAGAAGAAGAGGAAGAAGAAGACGAAGAAGAAGAAGAAGAAGAAAAAGAGGAAGAAGAGGAAGAAGAAGAGGAAGAAGAAGAAAAGGAAGATGAAGAAGAAGATGAAGAGGAAGAAAAGGAGAGGAAGAAGAAGAGGAAGAAGAAGAGTTGGCCTCTTCAGCCATTGTACAGACAGTGACAGCAGTACATAAAGCACATGTGTCAAACTCAAGGCCCGCAGGCCAAATGCTGCCAGCCAAGTGATCTTGTGTGGCCCACCAGAGTTTTAAAAAGACGTTAGCCTTATAATTAAATCAACGTTGCTGAGTTTCTTAAACTTATAAATTCAACTTTTATTTTTTTTATTAATCATCAAATCTACAATAATAATAATTTATAAGAAATAAATAATAAAGAATTGCAGAAACATATATTGATACTTTATGGAGTAGTTACATTTATATATTACTACTCTGTTTTCAACCAGCTCTTCAAGGGGAACTGTATTACTGATCTCCCCCTCCTCCCCCCTCGCTGCCCCCCCTCCAACTCCCACCTCTCCTTTAACACTGAGAAAGAACTGTTGACATTGACACATTATTGACATTTATTCGGGGGCAAAGATCCAAACATGTCGGATGAAGAATGGTTTTACCCTTCCTGACCTCTTCTTCTACCACTCCGCTGCTCTCTCCCTTCCTCCCTCCCTCACTCCCTCCCTCGCTCTCTCTCTCCTCCCTCTCGTGTGGTGGGAGCCGGCAGTCAGAACCAACAGCAGAAAAGTGTGTGTGTGTGAACCGGTGGAAGTGTCGGACTGTCGCAGAGCTATGAGACCGAAGATCTGCGTCTTCTGAGACGACCCGTGGACATGGACAAACAGAAAGGTACGGATAGCCGTTAGCGGTCACGTGACAGAGGCATGTTCGGAATTATCCAGGATTTGGACCTTAGAAATAGGAATGAAATCTGCAGGTTACCTGACGAGAGATTCCGTATCCTGACACTAGAGGGCCACGAGACGGATTACCTGTAGGCCAGCTTCCTTCCTGATCAGAAGATTTCGGGGTTGTACACCAGTGTGTCCCAGGACACATTTGGCGGCAAAGTGTATTTTCTGTATTTTTGTTTATCGTAATCATAATTAGTTTAATTTCATTTTTTGAAAAGCAAAAAAGCAGAAAAAATGAATTGTCGCTCTTTATGTATTTTAAAATAAAAACACATTGAAAATACCGGACCAAAAAATATCTGGAAAAATTTCAGTTTTTCAGGTTTATTATTTTTTTTTTTTTAATTTTTACCGTTAACGCGCTCATCTGTTAGCATCGGCTGTACAGACCGTGTGTTTTATCAGTCCGATGGTATGTTAACAATCGGAAACAACCGCTTGTCTTCGTCCTCCACCTCCTCTGTCTCGTCCTCCTCCTCCTCATCATCATCTCCTGCTAGTGCTCTCAGGAGACGGCGCTAATAGACTGTTTAGACTGTGTGTCCGGGGGGATGTGGAGGGAATTGGGGGGTGGTCTTTCATGTTTGTTTGCTCTGGTCTTATTTTATCAGATTTTCAACTTCCTGATTTTTAACATTTTTTTAAACAACATTATTATTTAACACAAATTAAAGTCAGCGGTTTGAACATTTTTCATCACTTCCTCCTAAATGTTTTAAATATATGACACAATCTGCTTTGAATCGGAAGACATCACATTTTTTCCTAATGACTAACTTACTAGTTATTTTTACTACTTTCGTCCAATTTAAAATTTTTAAAATGTAAACATTACTAACAGCACCATTAACAGGAAGTTAAAGTAAATTCATTTTGTTAAACTTTGACCACAAAAACGTTGTTTCTTGCGACGTCTGAACCCGTACTAGTTACTGGTCTGTGTACTAGTTAGTAAAGAGCCATGTTTTAGCATTACGTTATCATGGTGACGTCTGAGCTAGCTGTGACGCTGTCTTCACTGAGTACTTTGTGTCCAGTATATTTTTGGATAAACATATGAATGAAATATATTACTGGTAACATGGTGCTAACTAGCTTTGAACCGCTAACTGGCTTCGTGAACTGAGCATGAATGGTTATTTGTCTTTATATGTAGAAATTTTTTTTTTTTTTTAATGAAACGTGTTCATGTGGTGTGAATGTCAACGTGTATGTTCTCGGAGTAATTGTCTTGGGCTAACACTCAGCGCTAGCCTGTCATTTTGTTTATCGGCCTTTCAACAGCTGTAGGACTGTGACTGTGAGAAGAATGAATGAAAACCCGCGCAGCTACGAGTGTACAAACTTGAACTTCGGTGATGTCAACGTTTCTGCTTCGGTCCTAAATTTAACAAGAAGATGAAAGGAAAAGCTGCGTACACACCCTGCAACACACACACACGCACTAAAACACACACCAAAACACACTGAAATGCCATCTTTCGTCTAATTTGAGGGTTTGGGTTTTATGGTAAAGTAGCTTATATCGCTAAAACACACAGTGAGAGAAAACGAAAATAAAAGAGAGAGGGCGAAAGAAAGAGAGAGATGTTTTTACTTTCTTTTAGCTTTGTTGGTCTAAAGTTCACGATTGGTGGGTTTACAAATACTTAAACTTTCAGTTTGTCAGACATGTTCGCTTGTATTTCGGTGTGGTTTTCGTCACTATTCTTCGTAATTAAACAGAATATATACCGTAAATCAGGAGAGGTGTCTAACTTGAAATCGACGAATCAGGTCCTAATCAACAAAATGTCGGACAAAGACCTGTTCGAACGTCACAAAGTAGATCCACGTTGTGGTAAATCTAGATATAATGACAATTACGTGTTGTTTCTCCATCCTCATTTATCAGTGTCAGCTTTTTACTACGTTTACAATTTCAAGTCCAAATCTGTACTTTAACTCTTTTTTTTAAATTCCCCAATCGACGTTTTTCTGTCGCGGGAGCAGGAGAGGGCGGATTGATACAGTGATGGGTGAGTAGGTGATTGACTGAAGTAACAGCCGGTCCTACTTTCCTAGCAGCCACTGGATTTACATGACGTCACACCGAACGTCAGTTGCAGCCTTTAGCAATTCAAACGTTTACGGAACGAAATATTAATTAGCGGTTCGAAAATGTAAAAAAAAAAAAGGAATATATGGTGTGCGCTCCTCGTATAAAGTGGACACTGTGCCGTAGCCTTGACACATAAGAAAACAACAAGGTAGAGAGATATGTATTTTCGATTGTATTGCCTGTTGTTGTTAAGGCTAATTTATGCTAATAGCGCCATTTTTTTAGCTACACTGTCATAAGTTAAGCGTAGAATTGATTTAAAAAAATCAGTATCATGATCAGTCTAACAAAAACGTTGTTTGAACAGCGTTTTATTAAATTTTAAAGCCTTTTTTTAAAAAAAATACTGTTGTTGTTAAGGCTAATTTATGCTAATAGCACCATTTTTTTTGGCTACACTGTCATAAGTTATGAGTAAAATTGATTTGAAAAAAATCAGAATCATAATCGCTCTCACGAAAAAGCTGTTTGAACGGCGTTTTATTGAATTTTAAAGCCTTTTTAAAAAAAAAATACTGTTGTTGTTAAGGCTAATTTATGCTAATAGCGCCATTTTTTGCTACACCGTCATAAGTTGAGTAAAATAGATTTTTTAAAAATCAGTATCATAATCATTTTTTCGAAAATGTTGTTAAACGGCGTTTTATTACATTTTAAGGCCTTTTTTTAAAAAATCACCTAAAACTTATAGTGAAAACGACTCCAAGACTAATTTTTTCCCACTTGAATTTGTTTTTTCATTTAATGTCTCTTCATTTATGTTCTGTTTTCCACAAACACAGTGGAGTTTATTCACTCTGGGGATGTTGTCGTCAACATCAAAGTCTCTGACAGGAAGTGATGTAGATGGTCAGATAAAGGTGTCCTCTGTCCGTGAGTCAAGCAGCAGGCTTTCTTTTCACTGTTGACCATGCTGCTGTTGTTGTTGTTGTTGTTGACGGCTGTGGTGTGGGGGTGTGAGTTATGTACATTTGAAAACAGCAGCAGCCTCCAGTGTTACAATGTCCAGTCTTTAAAATCAGCAGCACAGAGTTAATGGGAAATGTTTAACCTCTGGTTCCCACTCAGCTGCGCGTGTGAATGGACTCAGTCTGTTTGCATGAATGAAGCTTCACACAGTCTCTTGTCTGTTTGCATTTTTTTTTTCATTCTGCATTTTTTACATTTCACCTCCTTCTGATGGTAATCGACACAGCCTCAAGTCCTTGACTAGCGCGACGACAGGCGACAGCGGGTCCTGCCTCTGTCGATATCTATTTTATAGAGTGATGGGAATGCAACCATTTTACACGTAGAGTGAAGATAAAGTACATTCATCATTTTTATGAATTATCGCCTTAACACACTGCCTAGTGGAAGGGTGCATAGTGCTCTTGGCGTACAGAGCAAAGATCACCAAAGACTAGGGATGTCCGATATTAACTTTTTGCCGATATGATATGCTGATATTTTCCGAACACTTAATTTCCGATTTCAACATCAACCGATACCAGTTTACACCTGGTAATATTCATTTGTTTATGTGTACAAACCACTGTAGTTGCTGGCACCAGCATTCCGCATAAAATCCCCTGATTATTAAAATCGATTAAATAAATGAGCTGCAATGCTGCCATCTAGTGACTGTACCTTTCACATACAGCCGTTTATCCCCAAAACTATTTTTGAAGCATTTTCTAAATTTCCTTAAGATCAATGATATTTTTTTAATTAATGAGATAACGATAAATTACACAAATAAATAAAAGTGTTTAAATGCCATCTTAGGTTTATAACAGCTGTGTAAATCTACCTCCAGCGAAACAACATGTTGTTTTCCCCCCGTCGCACTTCCTGTTTAACAGTTTTGCACAGAGACCTTGAGTTTTAAACATGACGCAACAACGCCGACGACAACGGCTTCTTTGTTCCCTTGTTAAACATTAGCAGCGTGAGCCGTCACTTCGCTGTCACATCGCTGAACGCGTGAAGGTCACAACGTCTGTGACAGAAACCCAAACTGAGCCTGAACCTTCGTGGCTTGTTGCTTTACTGTTCTTTGTAGTAGTGCTGTAGTAGTATTGATTCAGGCTGTGTATGGGCAAGAATCTGGTGATAGGATACGTATCACGATACAGGGACACCGATATGAGATATTGCGATATACTGTAATTGTATTCAAATGATTCATGTTTTAAACTCTTCGACCGTAGTTCTGCCCAGACTCATCAGCGACCTCCAGTCCTTTCTGTCTCTGTTGGACTCCGAGAACCTCAGCTACATCGCTCAGGCCCAGAAGAAGTCCATCTCGGAGCTGCTGTCCAAACTGCAGACGAACGACAGCCCAGGTGACAGGACTGTCCTGACTGGTTATTTCAAGTTAAAGATTCACCGAAAGACTAACAAATGAGTACCGCAGTACATCACGTACATCATCGGGTTTAGTTTGTGTACTTTTACACCCCTTGGTGATGTCATTATCTATTTCGATCTATTTTTTTGTAGTGAGAAATGCAAATGTATTAATATATAAAAAAAGTTGTATTCACATACTGTATATTAACCTTCAAGTACATCTTAGTCGTATGGCTAATGTACATTTTAACCAATGTGAAGAATAACCCTGTGTATCAATCATTTCCGACATTTGTCTACACACTGTTACACATGGTGTAATTTACACACACTGTTGGAAAACTTTTTTTTTTAATATAACCAAAGAACCTCAATATATCATATTGAACCATTTATATTTTACAGAAACAGATTCTTGGTCATATTGATGAATGTTTATAAAATGTTGATAAAATTAATCAGGGTTGATCGTGATTAATCACGGACACGAATAATCGTGATCAATCAGATTCAAATTTGAAGCCCTAGTAACAAAAGTAACAGTGTCATCTCTTCCAGTTGAAGATGCTGAATACATGATAATGAGCTGTCAATCATCCTCGCCCATCAAGGAGCTGACGGATTCACCTGAAACAGGTAACGGTCGAAAACATTGATCGCAAACAAAAAGTTGGATTTTTTTAGAGCTAAGGAGTTTTAAAGTGTTCATGTCTAAATTTAGCATCCCCACATGGGGTCGCGACCCCAAAATTGAAAAACACTGTCTTATATATATAAAGTGTCGCGTACATTTAAAAACTAGCCTGATTTATATTTTTAATTCTTTATATATTTCTTAATTATTTTTATGCTCTGGCTAAAATTCCCGTGTCGTTTCTTCCAGAAATTGTTCGTTCCTCTGATCCGGGCTCAAAGAAGGACCTGTGGCAGAAGACTGGGGTAAGTCTTCAGTCCTTCACGTCAACAAAAACCTGTGCGAAAAATCAATGTCAATAAAACCGGGAAGGAACAGTGTGTTTTCTGAGTCAGCTGTGAGAAGTAACGTTGTCACACGCCGACCGTTGGACGATACATTTTCTGAATTCTGGCTTCCCCGCTGTTGATGGGTGAGTGTGATGGCGAGGACCGCGGCCGACCTCGCAGCCACACCACAGAATTTCCCACGTTTGATTGAGGCGGGCCGACACGCCAGTGCTAATCACTTCACCCTGGGTTTGATGTGAATGCGTTTGACACTTTTCCGGCCGCTTTTCTACTGGGAAACGCTGAAAGGCCTTTCCCTGATTTTCAAAGTAAAACCGACTGTAGATAAATACCACACCGACTTTGACAACCCGTTTTGAAGTAACGGTCAGAGTGGAAGTGATTAGGGGCCCGGGAGTGGTTTTTTTTTTTTACCCCCTCGCACTCCCGAGAGGTTAGTCCCGCCGCGCTCACGATGGTTCCTTTAGGACGGTGACGTTGAAGTGGTTTGGTGTTGTGATGTGGTTCAGTAATGACAGACTCCATCCTGAGGTTAGGGAGGAGACGACAAGGTTACTGTTGTGTGTGTGTGTGTGAGTGTGTGTGTGTCGCAGAGGGAGTGACAGGATGTTCTGTGTTTACATGTGAAGCCACCCCCCCCCCATCTCTTCTCCTATTGGCCAAGCACTGCGGTGAAGAGGGAAGCGGTCACTGATGGTGGCTGATTAGCATGTGGTCTACGTGATGGATGAACACAAACACAAACACACACACACACACATATACCCGTGTCGAACACCAGTATCTCCTCTTTTTTTTATCTTCCTCTTTTCTTCATCGTTGTACGTAAATAAATGTGCGTTCCCTTTTATAGCATTTTTTTTGTGAAACAAACATTTTTTTTGTTTCAAAATTTCCCTCCAAATTTTTTTTTTCTTTATTCGTTTGATAACTTTTTGCTCAGTTTTGGACCAACAGGTTAGGCCTCCAGGCTGGG